TGCGACCCTCAGATTGCGAGTCGAGCGCCTTATCCACCTGGCCATGCCAGGCCTTTGTCTGCTGACTGAGTCCCCACAAAAACTGTAGCGGCATTACGTCCTTACCTACTACTGTTAGGTGCTAAAGATTCTCAAAACTATTGTAAAAAGCACCTTTAACTAGAGCCCCTCGGTGGCTTAGCGATAAGCTCAAGTGCTTAATACGCTAAATATGGGGATCGATACCTGTGGTGGGTAAAGAGCAAATAGCCCACTGTGTAGCTTTATGTTTAAATACAAATTTAGAAACTTCGATCTAGGATTTAAAAAGTAATGATTGAAATTCGTAAGTATGTTTCTTTATATAATCAATTACGATACTAGGGGGCGGTAAAACAAAATATGGATACATCTCTAAATTTTGTGAGTGTATTTAATATTACTTGTGTTTGAGGGTATAGAAACAATATAGTTATTAAATCTAAAAGGATGCAAAGTTATAGGAGATAGATAATTAGCAATTATCACTGTTTTGATTTTGTATATAGTCATGATAACATCTTGTGTAATGAAGAAACTAGGTAATTTGTCTTATTTGGTGCAAATACACTGTATCATACAGTGCTAGATGTAGGCGTAATGGCTTTCAGTTTCAGAAAAGTTACATAATATTCAATAATTCAGTGGTTTTTATGAGGAACCATGTGACTTATTTTCAAAAATAAAAAACACCTTCCAAGAAACATAGCTAAACTACATTGCTTATAAGTTTACGTAACCATATTTATTGCACGAATACTTTCACATTTTGGGAATATTTCTTGATAGTGATATTATATGGCGTACTGTTGTGTTAATATTATTATTAATAATACTATTGGCAGAATGGCGACTAAATACTTAAAATAATGATTTTTGGCCAAATTCAACACTTTCCGAAAAATTGGGGTGGGTGGGTGGGAGGCGCTTATTTATTTTTAATTTAATCTTACCTTTTATCACTAACCCTAATATTGGCATGGAAGAACCTGACTTGAACTTAGAAGGCTGTGAATCCCAATGTACCAACGTTTTTATCCCCCCCCCCCAAAAGGATTATACACAGTGCTAAATACAGTAAATTGAAGAATATAATAGCGCTACCTAGAACTATAAGTATAAGTAATTTAATTTTTAATTAGTCACAACATGCTGCTATTAGTCACTGAATGTATAATAATAATAAATATAAACATTCTGAGGCATTGATGCCATACTACTGGTTGGTGGGTACAAAAAACAGTCATTTGTTTAATAAGCCTAATGTAATAAAATAAGTATGTATCCTCTAACACAGTTTAATTATTAACCAAATGTGCACATGATCAGTCCATTGGACTGACCTTTTACTGAAGGATGAATGTTGATTATAATTCTGAACTTACTACATGCATCCACTTGAAATATGTGTGAAATGTACAAGTCTGTTGTATGCAGAATATCAGGTGTGTTACAAAAGTATTTGTACTCAAGATAAGTCTCTGAGTTGGTGATGTCCACCTGATTCAGACTCTGAGAAGTCATGAGTGCAAAATGATGTTTGTGTGAAGAATAAAATTAGTTTAGTCCATTGTATGGTTAATATACTGCATTTGAATAACCCTTAAAACCTTCATATAGGGATGTAAGATTTAAATGATAGATTATTGATAACTTGTTTAACTTTACGTCACCAGGTTAGGTGACATAATTGGATTGATTTGTGGGATAATTTTAATGATAGAGAAGAGCTGTTTGGATGACAGTCTCAACTTAACCAGGTTGGAGAATAGTGTGTTAGAGGAAACCTTAAATGACTTCATCGAGGAATATTTAAATTGAAATATGTTAGAGATGAGGGTACTTTTTAACCATTGGAGGATTTTCAATTGGTTTACAAAAGATTTGAAACATTTAAGCTAGTTTACTGTAAGTGAAGGGGTAAACAAAAAAACTTAGTATTTTTGACACTTGTACAGATGTTGAGTACATTATACTAAAATAATTTTGGAGCCTTTCCACATTGTTGTAGTCCATGTGTTGCTATGTATGATTATGCTGTTATTAACAACCATGCATCTTTACAATAGCCCTGCAGGTAGTTTCCATTTCAAAAGGCTTTGTTGTAAAGTTGTCATATCTGAAGCACACCACACCTCTCTGCTTGCTTTCCATAGTCCATTTATTGTATGTAGACAAATGTTTCCTAGTGCCAATTTCAATGGTCTGATGACACAGAAATCCATAGGTTCTGTGTCCAATGAGTTGATTGTTATGTCTTCACATGGGATAGCATGAATACACATTTCATTCTCCAGCTGCTTGGGGTATGAGATGGTTGAATGGGAGATATGACTGAAAGCCTTATCTTGATTAACTCGTATATTGTTTGCCTCATATCCAGATGCAGATCCTCTTTGATTATGCTAGATACTGTTGACTAGGGCACATGGATGGCTTTTGCCACAGATCTTTGTTTTTATGGATCACATTTTAAATTTTAATTTCTCTAGTTGGAGTATGACTTGTTGCAGATCTGTTTCTTTGTTTTTCAATATCATTAAGAAGAAAGGATATTTCCATCTTGGAAATTCTAAGTCCTTGAACTGAATGCACCTTTTTGATCTAAATGTATGAATATTTTGCATTGGAAAGGGCTGGTACATATCCTTCTCAAAAGCAATCAGTTTTTTGTGGCATAACACTTCCTATAAAATGGCAAGCAATGTTAAAATTTAGTTCTTATCAATGCCATTCCACTGCAACTTTTTTATTGGCTGCGGTTGTAACATGGCTTGCTTATTTGCATATTCAAAATAATTTTAATATAACGTACTCAACTCTCTGTACTAGAAGAATTTGTAACAGATTATTTAAACTAGAATCTTTGGTTGCTCATAGCAAGTTTAAGATAATTTGGTATTACTGAATCATGGTTAAAATGATGAGTACAATAATGTAAGCTTGAAAGGTTTTAAGATGTTTGCAGAGACAGCGTAAATAATATAGGAGAGGAATTATTATTTTTTTGTCAGAAATAATTAGGGCTTTTGTTTTTCAGTGCTTATTGACTTTGGAATTTTTGGTGTCTTGAAAATTTTGTTTTGAGCTTTCACTTTTTGTATACTGTATGAGATCCACACACACACCACCCCCACCCCTTATCTGCACAGGGTCTACTTTAATTTATATTAAATGATTTGTTATAGGTATAAGAATTACTTCCATGTAAAACCTTTGCTACCCCTTCAGAAATTGTGGTGCTTTTAAAGAAGAAAGCAATGCTAGATTCAAGTTGAGAAGGAAGGAGCTGAGGGATATCGCGTAACTAATTGTACTGAATTATTGTGAACTACAATGTTTTTCTTGTGTTTATTGATTAAACCAAGAATGAGAAGCTTTAGAAATCATCTGTAAGAGATGTGACATTTTAGAGATGGCTAATAACATAGAGAGTGTATGTATATGAATTGGGTTGTTAAATGATAGGAAAGGGGAAAAAATGTTTATTGGAATTTTCTGTTGGCCACCTGATCAGAAAATTGAAACTGTTAGGAATATTTACATGAAGATTGCTGTTGCTGCTAACAAAAAAGGCTTAATGTTATGAGAAACCATAATTTTAGAGATGTATACTGCATTAACTTTATCAATATGAAGTTAGTCAGTTCAACCTATGTTGAAACCATGAAACTATACATACTATATAAATGAATCTACTAATTGAATTTTCACAAAATTTAGAAAGCTTGTAAACATGACAAGTCTGTTTTACACAAATAATCAGAATTTTTAATAAAGTATTTTCGTTAAACATTTGTCTGTGAATTTAGGAAGCCTTTACTGGGTCAGTTTGAGTGAAAGGTGATCTTTATGCTAAGAATAAAAATACTTATATCTATGTTACAGTTTTCATATTTCATTTGCATAAGTTCTAGAATCTCCTAAATGAATATTAAAAGTTTTTCTCCTTTATTTTTCTACCCTAACACTAACTGTACCAAAATTATCAACTTACAATGAAATGAAAAGTTTAAAAATATGAAACAAAATGAATAATATCTTTTTTTTCTTTTTTGAATGCATAGTTGTCTTGAGAAATCTTGGCAATTTCAACTGTTAACCTTTTCACATTTGTTTTCTTTTAATTTTATGGTTTTGTTGCTTCTACTTTGAACCACTGTTTCCTCCATCAAAAGCAGTAAATGGTCATTAGATGTTTCTTGTAGACCTTATGTAAACATCCTGTGGTTTTTGCACTCATTGGTACAACTGCTGTAAACCTCAGTGAACCAAACAAACTGGGTCTCCAAAAATAATTCATGTTCCTTTCAAATATGCATTTTAGAACAAAAACTGTCAGTTACTAGAATAGAATGTCCCAAACACTACTGTAATTTATCTGGCTTTCTAAATAAGATATTAATAGGGTAAAAAATTCCATTAGCTTCCCATCCAGTAAAACCATAATCACATGACAATACATTTCTATGAAATGAATACTTTCCCTGTAAAATTCAAAAGGACATTTTAAGATTCATATAGAGGAGAAACTGCTCTTTTAGTTGCTTTTAACATATCTATCAACCATGTAAAGGTGATTAGAAAACAATCTTGAAAGTCAGAAAGTAAGAGGGCTTTGACAAATCTATTGATATCTTAGCAAATAAAGAAGGCAGGAAGTTCAAATCTTAAATTTTTGCATGTAAGTATGTATGGTTTGTGTTGCTAATTGGTTGAAAACAGTAGCAACCTATGTTAGAAGTTAGAAAATTTTGAAGTGAAGAATTCAGAGTTCATAAGTGTCACTTGACACAGAAAAATAAAAATTGAAAATTGTAAGTATTTCTTTTGGGTGATGAGGTTGATACTGACCTAGGGTTGTTTCGGGTTGGTTTCATGGTCGAGGGAGTTGAGTGCATGCGTTGGACTTCCCTCAGATTCCGGATGACACATCCCTAGATTCCTGGCATTAGGCTACCCTGTGATTTCGTGAAATAGGATGTTAGGTTCACTCTTGACTCTGGGACTTGAGTTAAAGATGGTATGATCGTCATCCTATTCTCGCGAGAATGTCGGTACCCAGCAAGTGAGGTTTGGATGTAGTTGACTTACTGAGTACAGTCTATCACACTCTAGCCACTCTACACCATGGAACACATCCTCACTTGCCCACTTTCTTTGTGGGATTGAGTGATTCTGATTTCTGTTTAAGATCACATTGCTACACTATCCTCTCCCATGTGGATGTGCTCCCTTTAATGATCCTCCTGATCATGTCAGTGTTTCATGGTGAAGAGATACCTGACTGAAATATGGTGCAATACCCCTTCTCAGATCATCTGATCCATTCCTTCCATTTCAGGAATGTCTTTGGTGTTTCCGGGGGATATGCCTGTGCTACTCTCTCACCGGTTCTTCCTCCATTTCAACGTGGGATTTAAGCTAATCTTGTGAGTGGAGGGAGAGTACTTTATTGGAAGCTATAATTTTCCTAAATTAAAATATATTTCCAATGGGTACTTCCCTCCTGTCAAACTTCCCACCCATCCTCCCCACAATT